ATGGACAGGAATCTACTGTGGTGTCCAAAAGACTCAAGAAACATGGCCTGCCTGGCTACTGTCGCTGTTGAGCTTTTTACGGCTGCATTTTTTTCTTTCCTGTTCTGATTTATTTTACACTTCCATTTTAATAGCCCTCTTTTGAGGTGATGTGGTAGGGTATGAAGAGTTACTATTTTGTTTTTCATTTGCCTGGAGCTCTCCAAGGAGGGCTTGACCTTGCAGAGATGTCCCTGTTGACTCATGCCCCCTAACCCAAGTCCCTGTTGCTGTCCCCCAGCCCTGTCTTAGAGCCCTGCCATATGGGGGTCTGCTTTCTGGTAGATGCCCTGGCTGAGGCCAGGTGTAAAGTGCAGAGCCTATGCCCACAGCCGGGACACAGCAGTCCGCCACGCCCTCTCCACTTATTCCCCTGCATTCCCTTTGGCACTCTACAGAACTTCCCACCAACACTTTCTTCTCCCACACATCAAGAACTGAGGGGGGGGGTTTGTCAGAAGCCCAAGAGTAAAGTCCCCAAGATGCTTCCATCCAGACCTGATCCAGGTATGGTCCTGACTCTCCCATCAGCAAAGCAGGATGATGGCACCTGCATGGGAGTTTCCAGAAGGCTTAACGGACTCAGGCACGGTACATGGCTGGAGCAAGGCTGTTCCAATTACCCATCTAGTTCCCTACACAGCTGCAGGGGGAGGCTGTCCTCTGCTTTGTTGCATTTTTATTACTTCTGCTGTTGTCAGCTTTGAACCCCATAGCACCTTGATTTCTCTACCTGCATCTGGGTCTGCATCCCTTCATTTTGGGGTACCAATTTATAGGGCAGGGTCCTCTTTGGAAGGCTCCCTGAACAACATCCCAAAGGATAGGGCAATCACCAACACCTGCTCTTCCAGACAACTGGAAGGGCCTGTGGGCTGCTTTGCTCAGGTATATAGATCTGCAGCCTTTGTTCTGTGAACGAGAGCCCAAGTGGGAGGGAAAGCCAGGCCAGGCTGCTTGTCTTTGTGTTCCTTCCCAAACAGTGTCCCTCAAGTGAGATCTGTGCCCCAGGGAGTGAGCTGTATGGCTTCCCCTAGGAGGCATGCCTATCACCCTGTGTCCGGAGCAGGCTGTGAGCCTGCATTCATTACCAAGCAGTCACAAGAGTAAGCCCAGGGCCTTTCAGTAGCATGTGATCCCTGAGGGCTCTCAGGTAAGTGGGAGGAAGTGGCCAGTGAAGTGGTCCATGTTGCATTGTTGGCATTTTTACTTTGCTCTGTACAAGAATGGCCTTGGGTGCTTTGTTTTTGTGTTTTGAATACCTTTATAGAGTACAAGTGAATTATTTTCTAGTTAGGGCAATAAGTACTACCATCTCTTCAACAACTAATAATTTTTAATGTAATACTATTTATTCTTTAAGAATTTTATACATGTATATAATGTATATCACCCCCACAGCTCCTCCTAACTTTATAGGTTCCTTTTTTAAATTTTGTTTATTCTGAGAAAGTTGCATATAGTATATTTTGATATTATTCATTTCCTTTTTCTTTTTTCTCTTTGGTTTTTGAGACAGGGCTTCTCTGTGTAATTTTGGCTGTCCTGGAACTCACTCTGTAGACCAAGCTGGCCTTGAACTCACAGAGATCCACCTGCCTCTGCCTCCCAGGTCCTGGGATTAAAGGCATGTGCCACCTCCACCCAGCCAATAATGTTCTCTCTTTTAAAAGGGAAAATCTTAATAAAACAGAGTCTTGTTTGTGTTGGCCAACTACTCCTGAGCATTGGGCCTTCTGTGGTGTGTGGTCAGTGTGCCAGTCATCATGCCATTGATGAAAACCAACTCTGCTTCACCCAGCAGCAATTAAATGTCCATAGCTCCTTAGCTATGCCCACCTTTCCTCCTGCATGCTAGGACTTTATCTGCACATGTACAGGTCTTATACATGCTGTCCATGTGAGTCTATGTGTGCATCTGCCCTGTTGTGCCTGGAAAACACAATTTATCTACCACCTCTGGGTCTTACACCCCTTCTACCTTCCTCTCCCACATAGATCCCTGAGCTTTGAGGGCAGGGGTGTGCTATATCACATTTAGGGTTGAGCATTACAAACTCTTTTATTCTGTGGGTCTGTGTGTCCTGTCAGGGGTAGTGGTTTTGCAGTTGTTGCAGTGTCTTGCTTCCCTTGCACGGATCTCGCTTGTTACAATGTGTCATTGAATTCAGTCTGCGTATATTCAATGGAGAAACTTTGCCTGATATTCTGTAGAGATAGTAGGGATTTTTTTTTAAAGAGGTTTTATCTTTGTCTGGTAATGCTGTCTTCATAAAGGGCTTGTTTTGTAGAATACAGTAACAAAGTCATAAGGCACAGGATGCTTTTAGATAGGGAATGTTTCTGACTGCTTTGAGCTATTTCTGTTTATTTTGTTCCTTCTTATCCTTCGTTACTAGTTTAGATTTTCTTTTTAAAATTTTATTTATGTGCATTGGTGCTTTGTCTGCATGTCTGTCTGTACAAGGCTGTTGGATCTCCTGGAACTGCAGTTAAGTTGTGGGCTGCCGTGTGGGTGGTGGGAACTGAACCCAGGTCCTCTAGAAGAGCAGTCAAGTGCACTTAACCACTGAGCCATCTCTCCAGCCCCAGTTTAGAATTTCTATTTCTTCTCGGTTCAGTTTTTATGTGTTTAAAAATTCTAGGTTTTTCTCATTATCAGGGAAGGGCATTTAAGGCAGCCTCTCCACCACAGCTTAGATTGTTAGTTGGGGTTATTCATGTAGATCTCTGGACATTTTCCTAGGGCCAGATTTCTCTTAAAACCTATAATGCCTCCCTCTATTGTGGTATCTCTTTTCTTGCTCTTTTATTCTTTCCCTGACTCAATCTTCCTGCTCCCTCATGCCCACCTCTGCCCTCCTCTTCCTCCTAATTTCCTCTCCTCTCCCTCTATGCTCCCAATTTTCTCAGGAGATCTTGTCCCTTTCCCCTTCTCCAGGGGACCATGTGTGTCTTTCTTAGGGTCCTCCTTGTTTCCTAGTTTTTCTGGTGGTGTGGATTGTAGGCTGGTAATCCTTAGCTCTAAGTCTTAAATCCATATATGAGTGAGTACATACCATATTTTTCTAGGTTTTCTAATGTTTTAGTATATAATTATGTATAATGAGCTATGATTTTCTGTATTTATGTAATATGTCATCTTTTTTCTCACTTAATCCAGAATTCTTTTCTAATTTTTCTTAAAACTTTTTTCAAGTGGTTTGCCTGTGTATGTGTGTGAGTGTGCATGTGATGATGCCCACAGAAGCAGAAGAGGGCATCAGATCCCCTGGCACTGGAGTTCACAAGTGATCTGCTGTGTGGGTGCTGGGAACTGAACCCAAGTCCTCTGCAAGAGAAGCCAATGCTCTTAACTGCTGAGCCATCTCTCTAGGCTTGTGGGTTTGCCAATTAAAAAAAAAATGGCCATTTGTATTATGTTTATTTGTTGTGGGTGCTGTGTTGGGTGTGTGGAAATCAGTTATCTCCTTCTACCATGTGGGTCCAGACAATGAACTTGTCAGGATTGACAGCAATCACCTTTACCTGCCAAGTGATCTCACAGGCCCTGGTTTGTCAGTGTAATTTCTAATCTTATTTTCCTCCTACTAATTTAAGGTTTGTTGATGCTTTTCTGTCATTGCGATACATTGCTAGGTAGAGATCCAATTTATGTAAAGATCTTATTTGTGTACAGGTGGGGCTTGAACACATGTGCAGGTGCCCACAGAGGCTAGAGGAGGCATCTGATCCCCTGGAGCTGGAGTTGCAAGGGGCTGTGAGCAGCCTGGCATGGGTGCCCAGAGTCCCAACAACTGAGCGACCTCTCTGTCCAGCCCCACTGTTTTGGGTCTTATGTAGATCAGGTTAACAATGGCCTTAAACTCCCAGTTTTCCTGCCTCTACCTCCCAGTGCTGGGACAGCCTGTATAACCCACCCAGTTTATGATCAATTTTAATGTATACATTTACTACTATAAACTTACCTTCAGGACTGCTTTTGCATTAGCCCACAGATTTTGGTTTGGCTTTCATTTTCATTTGTAAAACTTTAAAAATTTCCTTTTGAATATTTTTTTTTTCAGTTACCTCGGGTCATTTAGGAATGTGTTATTTAATTTCTTGAGTTTGTATACTTTCCATTGTCCTTTTCAGTTTGTAATTGTATTCCATTATCATCTGTTTTAGCTTAGGGCTTTATTGCTGTGAAGAGACACCATGACCATGGCAACTCTAATAAAGGAAAATGTTTAATTAGGGATTGCTTACAGTTCAGAGGTTTAGTCCATTATCGTCATGGCAGGAAGCAAGACAGCAGGCAGGCAGGCAGACATGATGATGGAGAAAGGAGCTCATAGTTCTTACATATTGATTTGAAGGCAACGGGAAATGAACTGAGGCACTGGGCATGGCTTAAGCATATATGAGCCTTCAAAGCCCACCTCCACAGTGACACACTTCCTCCAACAAGGCCACACCTACTTCAACAAAGCCACACCTAATAGTGCCACTCACTATGAGCTTATGGGGGTCAATTACATTCAAACTACCCCAGGTCCTTTCTCTAGGTAGCATGGCTCAACTCAGGTGTTTGGTTTTCTATCTGGACAATCTGTTCATTGGATTGCTACTACTTTTGTCTGAGCACACATGGGCTTACAGAGCAGCACAGGGCCAAGCCCTCATGAAGCTGGGGCTTGAGCAGCTGCCAATCTTTATCTGCAGCTGCAGATAAAGAAAGAACTGTCCCTACATCCATCGGATCAAGTAGAACTGACAAATAAATCTTGTGGCATGGTCCCTGAGTCATAGGACATGGAGACCCCATACTATTATTACAGTCATCAAAGGATCAAGGGCATTGAAGGAAAAGATCTTATACCCCTGAGCAAGTGCACGGCGGGTACTGCATAGACCTCCTTCATGAGAACCGTAAGAACCAAGTCTTAACCCTATGGTTTTTGCTTTGCTTGTTGTAGATGGAGCAGATGAGGAGCGAGCTACTTCAGGAGAAAGCTGCCAAGCAAGACTTGGAGTGTGACAAGATTTCCCTAGAGAGACAGGTGAGGACGGCCATTCCATGAGGTCCTGCCTCCCAGTCTCTCCCTCGTGTTGGGCTTCCTGGTACACTCCTATGGGAATGTGGCAGAGGGGAGGGATAGGATGAAGTTCACGCTCTCCCACACCTTCAGCCTTTCTTGGAGGCTGACACTGAGGTTCTCTGCTGAAGACTCAGGTCCTCTCCTGAGTGGACAGCGCTCTGGTACAGTGAGACTCACAACTGACAAGATGACTCACTGAGAAACTGACCCCAAGTAGGGTATAACATTTAAGGAAGACTCAGCATCAACAGATAAGATTTTCATACAATATTTTTAAATGACTGCTCATAATCAATGATGAGAAAGCCATTGACATGGGAGGTCACAAGTCCAGTCTAAAGGCGATGAAAATAATCATACCTTGAAAAAGGTAAGGCTGAGAAGGATCAGTGAGATCAGTGCTTTCGCACACTAGTGAGGAAACTGGTAAAGAGGATGCCCATCCCTCCGTGAGTGAGTCTTGACACATGCCAGCCCTTTCATCCAGGCTCAAAAGGCAACATCTTAGAGTTTCTCCTTTGACTGCTAAGACCCAAGTTCAACCCTGTTTCCTGGTACAACCTCTGGGATTGCCCTAGTGCCTAGGCACTGAGCAAATTCCTGACTCTACTCAATGTGCTTCTCTGACTGAAGAGCATTCCCAGCCAAGTCCCTCACAGGCCCCTGTCTTATTTCAGAACAAAGACCTAAAGAGCCGCATTATCCACCTGGAAGGTTCCTACAGGTCCAGCAAAGAGGGTCTGGTGGTGCAGATGGAGGCCAGGATTGCAGAGCTGGAGGACCAACTAGAGAATGAGGAGAGGTGAGCCCAGCCTGGGGTGGGGCAGGGAGCCAGGCTGGTCAATTCATTAGGGTGGGTTAGGGGGGTCTCCTTACAGCCTTTCAGCCCCCCTGAAAGGTAGAGCCAAGACCAACCTTGCAGTCAATCCCTTTCTTAGATGGAAACAGTGAGCTCCATGAAGGGAAGTGATAAGGTAGTCTGGACTGAAACTTAGGAGTAGACCGCAGCTGCCTGCCGTCTGTCTGCATCCTATTTAACAAAGCTGGATGCATTTGTAAGTGGTTGAGTTTGAGCCAGGTTGGAGGCAGGGGGCTGCTGTGGCCCCAATGGCAGGTGCACTCAAACAGAAATTGCCAACTACCTGCCAGGAATGTATGGCCAGTGGTTAGGGAAGATGTGGAGCCCTTCCCAACAAAAATGCTTTTTGAGATAACCACATAGTCCCAGCCTGAAGATTAGCACCTCAGTGAACTTGACCTTCCTTGAAGGTTCCTGGCATATATGTACATAGTTTTAGTAAGATTTCTAGGTCTGGATGGCATAACCCCCAACTACTGGTGGTCTGTGGTTCTTTGCTTCAAAAGTTAAGCTCATCAGAGGAAGAATTCAGGACACTTCTGAGTTCTGGCCCTGCAATCTTGGGAGAGTCCTTGGGGCCCCATCTTTCCTCCTGTGACACCAGCAGTCCCTTCTTCCTGTGTAGTTGTTTTTCTCTGATCCTGAGCTGACCAGGCACCCATGGCTGGGGAGTCTCATCGTCTCCTTCCAACCTGGGCTTCCTGTGGGGCTGAGATTAAGAGGGTGTGTCCTGTTCTGCTCTCTCTACTTGCAGGGATCGGGCCAACCTGCAGCTCAACAACCGAAGGCTGGAGAGGAAGGTGAAGGAGCTGGTGATGCAGGTGGATGATGAGCATCTGTCACTGACGGACCAGAAAGACCAGGTGAGAGCGCGCCTGTGTCCCAGGCTGAGACCAGGGGGGCGAGTATGCCTGCTCCCCTGCCCCACTCAGCCCACAGGGCGCTCCCACTTTTTCTGTGGGGTGGGGTCCCTGGCATCTCCTGCTCTGCTGGACCCCCAGCCAACACTCAACCTCCATCTTCCCTCACATAGCTGAGCTTACGCCTGAAAGCCATGAAGCGCCAGGTGGAAGAGGCTGAAGAAGAGATCGACAGACTGGAGAGCTCAAAGAAGAAGCTCCAGAGGGAGCTGGAGGACCAGATAGGAGTAAACGAGCAGCTGCAGGGGCAGCTCAACTCCATGAAGAAGGGCTTGAGGTAGGTCAAGGTGGCGGCCCTCTGAAGCATCCTGTGACACTTGTTAGTCTTTTCAGAGTACTCTTCCTCCCATGGCCTCAAGCCAGTTTTCCACTGTTGCCCTCTGGGGTCATCTCATCTTGAGGTGAAAGTGGCTGTGTCTGCTTGAGTCACCCCCACATGTTCAGTAAGACCACACATCCTTGTACCAGTGCCTAGCAGAACCCACGCCACAGAGGGGCATCCCACATATACCCTTTTAAGAATGAGGATCTTCCAAGCTGCTCTGAGGAAAACGAAGGATGGGGCTAGAGGGTGGTTTTCCCAGGACCAGGGTAGGAGATATTGTGGTGAGGGGTGAGCAGGAGTTCATGCTCACCCAGAACACTAGCTTTGGGGGAGGCTGCCTGTGCCTGGAATTCCGTGCTGATGACCCAGGTAGCTGGCACAGCTGACAGATGGCTCCGGCTCACTGAGAATCCTAGCACGGACTAGAACTGACCCCAAGGTCAGCGGTAAGAAGGACTCCATGGGCAAAAGATAATGTTTTGATAAACTATTAAGACATTATTGTATGAGGACATCGATCAGTTGGTAAAGTGCTTGTCTCCCATGCGGAAGGCCCTGGGTTCCATAAACTAGGTGAGCAGCAGAGACAAGAGGATCCAAACCTCAAGGCCATTCTTGGCTGTATAATTAGCTTGAGGCCAACACAGGCTACATAAGAGCCTGCCTCAGAAATCAAAAGTGTGTGAGACTCGGTGAATAAGAACCACCCATCTTATAGTTAGGCAATAGGAGAAATCACTTATACTGTCCGTGGATCTCCCCATCAACACAGGTCAGGAGTAATAGACATTTTGCACCTGTTGCTAAGACAAACACTTGGTGCAGGCAAACTCATGTCACATGTGTGCAGTGGAGCAGAGGGCAGGAGCCCAACAACCTTCTCCCCAATCAGAGCCAAGCCCTAGCCAGAGTCCAAAAACATCTGCTTTGTGCTTCTGCAGACTTAAGACGCTGCCTAGTAAAGTCCTGGATGACTCGGACGACGACGACCTCAGCAGTGATGGGGGAAGCCTCTACGAAGCGCCACTGAGCTATTCCTTTCCCAAAGACAGCACCCTCACCAGCCAGATCTGAGTCTGCTTCCAGGCCTGTAGATCCCAGAGGACTCTGAAGCCATCCAGAGCGGGAGGTGCTAATGGAGGCTTGTGAATGGAGTCACACCCACAGTTCCCACCTCATATCCTCCCCAGGGCCTCTAAGTGGCTCAGTGACCTTGGATCTTAGATAGGGAGCTATTGACATTGAAAATGACCTAAGGGGGACATTTTGGAAGACGGAGCTAAGAAGTCCTGGTGTGCACCGCTGCCCTCCATCACCCTTTCTCCTCCCCCAGCGAGGTTCCAGTATGCCAGCTGCAATGAGATAGCAACATGTAGGGATGAAATGTATAGACTGCACATATTTTAAACCAGACCTTCTCAAGGACTGCTGCTACTTTAGAATGTTCCAGAGCCTTTGGAGTGTGACATCTTTGTAAAGTTCGCACATCGACATGGATTATCTTTTAAAATACGAAGCTACCAGATCTCAAGTATTAAAAAGCAGAGGCAAAGGGGGAAGAGTGGAGGCTACTCTGGAAATCAGAAGGGGTCACAGAGTGGAAAGTTAGCACTGGGAATCCAGTGGGCTGTATGGGAAAACTGCTCATTGATGTTGGAGAGGGGACTTTTAGCTAGGGCTGAGCCTAGGGCCTTGGTTGCTTATTTTATCTAAACCATACTAACAACACTTCCCATTCTCCAATTTCTTTCAAGCGGGTAGAATGGTGATACAGGTGGGATTTTTAACAAGTGCTGTGCTTCTCAAAGGACAAGAGTCCTGGTGGTGTGTCTCATTGGTCCTTTTCCTCCGTGGCAGGCCACCAAGTGAAGCTTATTCAGACCCGGGATTGGAGGAGTAGGAGAGGCTATGATGTGAGGGCTTAGATGTGAGGTGGACACATCCATCCCACCACAGGGAAAGGGATAAAGGGAGATGGGGGTGTGGGGCTGGTGTAAGAAGGAATGCAGAGAAGTTCATGAGAGTTAGGGAATGTGCGAGAAAGACGGGGTAGTGTTGAGCTGTAATGAAGAGGGTGGGGTGTGTGAGGTGCAGCCAGCGACATGACACTAGACTGAGATTGAGAGATGTTTGCAAGACCAAAGCTCCTCTCTTCCCTGTGGTCTTGGTAGATGAATCCAGGGACAAGTCAAGGAATAAGGTTCCAGGTCCTTCTCAACCTGGCCCTGTGACCATTCCTCCATTTTCTTACGTATACATGTTTTAGGTCTCTCTCTCTCTCTCTCTCTCTCTCTCTCTCTCTCTCTCTCTCCCCCCCCCTTTAAGAACTAATCCTGCTCAAGAGTATTTTCTCTACCTAGATTAAAAATATTTTGTGTAAACACTTGTTGCCAAATGCAATGCTGAGAAGACAATCACTGTATGGCTTTTATAAATTGTTTCCTGCTTCAGAGTGCCATTCTGCCATGACAATTATATACTCTGTGGGGCTTTTGTTTTTCAGTGGGACTTGATTACTATGCGTTGCCATGGAGAAGAGACTTTTTTTTTTTTTTTTTAATCACAGCTACCTCCATGAAAGTGACTTCCTGGATAAAGCAAGATTTCCTTTCTTTCTTTTTTTTATTGTAATTTTTTTTAATTGGAAAACAAATTGTGCCATAAGCGGATTTTCTGTAAGTGGCTAAACAAAGTTTAAAAAGCAAGTAACAATAAAAGAAAAATGTTTCTGGTACAATACCAGCAGTACAAAAACATAGTGTACAAGTACCTGGATAAAATACCCATTTTGCAACAGTGCAGCTTTTAAGTATATACTGTTGACTGTCCACAGTCCATGCAGAGTTACAACTCCACATGCCAACAACAACATGCTGACAGTTCCTAAAAACTACTTTTAAAAAAGGCATAGCCCAGACGTCCTCGCATTTGACCAACTCCATCTAAGTTTAGATGTGCAGAAGGGTTTGGGTATATCCAGAGTAAGCCACATGCAACATGTTACTTCATCAATATTCTAAAATAAAGTTTAAGGACAACGGCAGAAGATAAGGGAAGAAAACATGGAGGAATCAAGTCCTAATTACTACACATGCATACTTTTTTGACAGTAGGGGGAAGCCTTTTACAGATAAGTTACAAAGAGAAAGCAAATAAACAATTTTGTACAAGAAATTTAACACATTCTGTCCAATGTCTTCACTTTGCTGTCATTATTTGTCAAACTCTTCATAGTTTACCTGACCATCGATGTCTGCTTCCCTGATCATCTGTCTCATCCACCTCTTCATCTGTCAGCTTGTCTCCGGGGTTTGTCATCACATGACGAAGCTCTGCTGCGCTAATGTAGCCATTGCCATCCTTATCAAACGCACGGGATGCTTCTCTGATCTCCTCTTCACTGGCTGTCTTTCGTTTTTCTTGCCTTCATTGTCAGAAATTCAGGGAAGCCAATTGTGCCATTACCGTCTGCATCGACTTCATTAACCATGTCCTGCAGCTCTGCTTCTGTGGGGCTCTGCCCACAAGCCCTCATTCCAGTTCCCAGTTCCTCTGTTGTTATAGTCCCATCACCATCCTTGTCAAATAGTGAAAAGGCTTCTGTGAATTCTGCAATCTGTTCTTCAGTCAGTCGGTCAGCCATACTGCAAGGGCTACTGGTTTCTCAGACGCGAACACACAACCGCTCAGCTCTCCAGACTATGCAAGATTTCCTTTCAATAAACTGTCACCTGGCGGGAATCTTGGCTCTTGTATTATTTTCTATCGCTTGATTTCTTTGGAGTTTGGATGCTGTGTAGTTGGCTTACTTGTTGTGCAAGCATGGGGGCCTGAGTTTGATCCCCAGAACCCACATAGAAAAAGGCAAGCATAGCAGCACGTACCTGTAATCCCTAGGGTGATGGAGAAAGATGGATCTGGGAGCTTGCTGACCAGCCAGTTGAGCCAAATTAGCTAGTTACAAACCAGAAAGAAACTACCAATATAAACTGGAAACTGCAGTGGTTGTCCCAAACCCAAAGCCACCTTGTGAGATAGAAGGGCATGCGGTGTGGTCAGAGGTGGATGTTGGTGAAACATTAGCCATGGATGACCATGGTGCTCTGAGATCTCCAAATGGTTCATTCCAGAAAATCACAAAGGGAATGGTCCAGCTTGTCAAATGAGAATCAGACACTCCCTTCCCTGCAACCACAGTTCGTATGGCCCCTCTTGCCCTCACAACAGGCTCCCCATGGTCTCCATTTCACGTGGGGCTAGGACAGCTTCTCCCTGGAAGGGACTCACACAGGTCACCATGTCAATGCTGTCCCCTACCCTGACTTCAGGGAGCTGCTCTCTAGACTCTAGCTTACTGATTGGTTTGGCTGGGCTGCAGGTGGAACTCTGGGCATTTCTCTGGCTGCAACCATCTTGGGTGTGCCCCCTGAGCCTTGGGTGACTCACATGTCCATTGTGCCTTATTTCCTCAAGGAAGTCATGGCTCTCTGGATGTCTCAGTGCCCCTCCTGAGTTTCCCAATGCCGCCTGCACTCTGTAGCTACCCTTCATTGAGCCCTTTACACAGCTAGTCTCGGTGTATGCTCCCCATGTATGTAAATGTCATCCTAGATAGTCTGCAGGCACTGTTTCCCCTCAGTCAAAGCAGGAGCAACACCAAATGTGAGGTGTTTGCATTGCAAGCTCCCAAAGCCTTTACATAAATTACATCTCATTTTGTTAAGGCAGATATTGAGGCATAGTTTTATAATCTGTAAATAAAGTCAGCATCTAACTTTCAGGCTGGATAGAAACTTCTATCTGTTGCTTCTCAGCAGTATCTCCTGGGAGGGAGTAAGATTCCATGTGGCTCCTGTCCTGAGGTGTTGGGGGGAAAGGTTCAGGAAGTCCAGAGTGAAGGGGAAGAGTCCTCCCTGACTGCCCTGCCTTCCCTCCACATTCCTGACATTCCACCCTTGACCTTGTGGATATTACCAGTAATCCTGTCTCTCTTGGACAACTCATTAGAATTTTTTTCTCTAATTAAAACAAAACAAAGACAATCTCCAACTTAATAGCAAGTTCTTTTTAGAAGCTTAAGAGTTTCCAATGCAGAAATGCCTGGCCTTCCAGAAGAATCAACACACCTGGCCCCTATTCTCAGGCCAGCTAAAAATAACCACGTTAAAGTCTTCACTAACTTTCCTGTTTGTAGACCCAGGGCCTGGCCTAAGTCTCCATCAAGCAACAACAATGAGAGGGAGAGGATAAATGTGTGTCCTGACTTTACAAAGTGAAAGACATGATCTGAAAGTCAACTCAACAGGTACTATGTGCAGGGAAGACACACGTGTCCCCCAGGCAGAGGGAAGACACACGTGTCCCCAGGCAGAGGGAAGACACACGTGTCCCCCAGGCAGAGGGAAGACACACGTGTCCCCCAGGCAGACTCTGTCCACTTGATCTCAACACAGTTCAAGTCAACAACTTTCCAGGATGCCTAGAGCTCTGCTGAATAAACACAGCCCTTTTAGGAGGATGACAGGGATTTGGAAATCAGGAATCCTGGTCTTGGGCAAGTTGTGCTTTTTGCTGCTAGGTGCACCTGGAAGCAGCAGCTAGTGCACCTGTAGAATCTGCCAGCAGGGGGCAGGTGTCAGTGCTACACGGGAAGTCTGAGGCCCCTGGGAGCTTACTTACAATGTGATTAAAAAGTGGCGGGGGTAAAGTTATGGTTACATCACACTGATTGCCGTTTTTATTTTGCTAAGCCCTCTGCTCAGCACCCAGTTCCCCCCCCCCCAAGTCTGTGTGCTGTGCAGGGACCGGTGTATGCCTGGCTTACCTGCCATTCTGCACCGACTCACCTACAACCAGCCTGGAGTGTGTCCTGATGGGGCTAGTGAGATGATCTAGACATTGGCACACAACCTAGCCAAAGGCACAGGGCAGGATGAAGACACTGAGGACTAGATCTGGGTCAGGCTCTGGGGTCCACTCTGCCCACCCTCCAACATCACAGGCTCACCCCCTCTGCCTGCTTCCACTTAGCACTGCCACCAGAGGCTGCCAGAGAGCACAATGACCCTTTGACCTTTTATTTTTCTTTTTTGCTGTTCTAACTAGAGGTCTGGGTGGTTGGCAGCTGCAATCATCAATTACCATTTATTGGGATATTCCCTGCTGAAATCTTAACCTGGCTTCTCAGAGCCTGATCCTGGTGACAAGGCCACTCTGGGTTGTCACTGGATCCCTATTGTCTCAGTGGTGGTCTATAAGCAACATCAGCAAGTCCCTGAGTATGGGTGGCTCTTGCAGAACTTAATGGTGTGTGGCTAGAGTGACTGTCACAGGGCAGTGAGTGTGATGTGACATCCCTACATTCACAACTGAACTTGCAAACTGAAGCCAACACAGGATCCTCACAGATCATTCTGTGTCTGCTGAGGTCACAGTCAAGCTGCAGAGTCCCTGCTAAACTGGGGGAGGAGTCGTGGGGGAGCTCTGGCTCCCTGAGTAGGCAGGAACTGACCTGTGTAGAGGGACGAAGAACCCTGAACCCTGCAGGGCACAGGAAGTATGAGCAATTCAGAGAGCCCTTGGCAGCTCTTCTTGGGAGGAGGAGCCCCTGCCTTTCCCAGGGGTAGTGAGACCCCACCTGTGGGAACAGGATTCTGGCCTCGGTGTAGCATGCCAGACTAGGAAGTGAGCACTGTGTGCAGAGTTTGGGGAAGTGACAGGTGCCCTTCTCCTGGGACACACAGAGTAGAAGGGACTCCCTTCTGATCAACTTTGCCACAATAGTATTTGGAGGCAATGAGACTTTTTTTTTTTTTTTTTTTTTTTTTCCAGTCATGGGCTCATGCAGCCCAGGCTGGTCTTGAACTTGCAACAGAGCCAAGGATGACCTTGAACTTCTGATTCTCCTACCTCTACTTCCCAGGTGCTAGGATTATAGATATGCGCCATGATGTCCTGCATTGTGATACTAGATCGAAGTCAGGATCTCACGCATGGCAGGCTTGCACAGTAGGTAAATGCTCCACCAAGTAAGCTGCATTCCCAGCCTGGGAATGATTCTTTATTGACAGATAAACTCTCTTTACAAGGAGGAAGCTGCAGTTAGGCAAGGCCTAGATTCCCTTTCACATACCTGGGAACAGGTGCAAGAGAAAGCTTGCCTAAAGTTATCAACTAGTATACAGTGGAGGAACTCACAGGTCTGTTGCTGTTACCAGCCTAGAACTTGCCTGTACTGAGCCTGTGCTCCGTTTGTTACCCTTCCCAAGTGGCACTACTTACTTCCCTAGGCAAAAAGGCCGGTTTGTCTGAACCCTCTTGTGCCTGACCTCTGAATGGAAGTCTGTGTTTGGAGCCTGAGGCCTTAACTATAAGGCACACAGCCTGCTCTTCTCTCTGAAAATCCCATCCCTGCATCCCTGCATGCTCCCAGCCTGCCTTACTCGCTATA